CCCCCCCCCGCCCCCCCCCCGTCCTCTTCTTTCCTGAAAAGAATGTTTACCGAGCCCACACGCTGCTGCCTGAGTGTTGTCTGTACAATAATATGATGGTACGTATATAGGCAATACACAACAAGGCGGGCACGCAAGCTGCCGTCTGAGGTGCTATCGGAATGCGTCCGCCGACACCCAGCAGTGACACGACGGTAAAAAAACAGGATTTACTCACGCCTTTCGTGGCTGTGTAGAGCGTGGTCCAAGGCTTGTTCGGCATCCGCTGCCCGAAAATTCCGCTGTACCAATCCACAAAAGCGAGTATGACGTCACGCTTCGGCGAGTGTTGTCCTCGACGGGGCGCCCTTTCGACGCTGCGGTTGACGAACAGTTGCGCGAACAGCACGGACAGGGTTGAGTAAGTAGTGTAGGTGGGGGCCTACACCCGACCCGTCGGGGTTCGGTCCCCAACTCTGTGGTATTGTAATAGATGCATTGACATAGATAGGTGCTACACTGAGATATGGCATGTCGACGAGACTTTGTGGCAGGCGAATGGGTGAGAAGAACACACGACGCAATTCCGCTACGCTGAGTACGGACACTCTGGCAACGAACGCCCAACCCGCGGTTTCGTTTTCGTAACATCAACAGCAAATATTGGACGTACCTGACGTTAGCCGATGTCCTGGACCCGGGTGTGCCCTTTGCAGCGCAGATCAAGTTGTTTGACGCTGGAAAGACGGACTTGAAAAACTTTCCACATACCAGCCGATTACCCGCGTACAGCTTGCTCTTGTGCTGTTCTTGGATGGGGACACGCTGAGCGACGAAGTTCTTCCGTGCTGGCTCGTCAGGCCCCAGGTCGAGGAAGCGCTTTCGTTCTGCCGTGAGGAGATCGAGTCGGTAGTCGCTGTTCCTTAGGTCGACAAACTTTGAAGCACTCGAACCACGGCAGCATGCCACGTTCAGGACACCCTCGAGGTCTTTCGCTTTGGCGTGCCGACGTTTCTTTTTGGCTGGCTGTGGAGAATCTGCTGCAGGTTGAGCAGAGGGCAGTGAAGACACTCCTCGACCAGACTGAGGTGGACGTACGTCGATGTTGGTAGCCTCCCGAGCGACCGGCCCGGCGCCGAACAAGAACTCGAGCGCCCCTGGGGCGAACGACATCGTCTGGGTGACGATGGCAGCAGCCAACCACAGCCAACGCCGCATGGCTCTGCTGGCTGCAGAGGGGTGTGTTCCAACCAGGGGGGCAAAAACCAGCTCGGCCATTTTCGGGAGATTCCAATTTCTCCGCGTCATTTGGTTGGGTGATATTGGTGACGGACAAGATGTGGCACACTCTATTGTTTACCAATAGAAGCACCCGTTCGGTCGTCGGAAATTATTTACCAGTAATAGGTTTCTCTTGAGCAATACGCCGAATAATTTTCTTTGGGTGAACATTGTGATTGGATGTCCTGACAGTAGATACCATTTCCGGGGAATTCGTTCCGGTTTTGGTCGGTCCGCCGGATTCGTTGACAATGCAACGCAGCCAAAAGAGGGCAACACATAATTCCGACCAGTCAATTGACTGGTCGAAATGATGTGTCCCCTAGTCTTTCATCAAGTAATTGAACTCGAATTTCGGCCTCTCGGTTGANTCCGAGGACAGGCGGCGCGTTAGGGGGCGGCCGTGCTCTCGCGGTCCACATCAGGGCTGTACTTGCCACCCAGAGATCCACCCAGAGATAGAGAGAGGGAAGGCGAGCGCAGAGAGCGACGAACGGGCCGTATAGCAATGTGAGAGTCACGCTCCGCGTGCATTCCTCGCGGAAGTCTAATCTTGCCGTTTTGGTCGCGCTGGCACTGAGTTTGCCGTGTGTCTCGATGCAGCAAATGTCGCCTTTGTTGCAGGCACACGTCGAACACACCTGTGCGTATGTATGTAGATACGAACACAGCTGTCTGTGCGCCTGGGCCATGCCATCGGGCATGGCCAATGCTGTGTGCATGTATGGGCACGTCTTTACATCATGCATCAAGAAAGACGAGTGTCTCGTGTGTGACTCTTGCGCGGTCGAGGTAATCGATCTCTCTCGTAGTCGTTGTCGCCTCCGTAGGCACTCCTTCCTTTCAATACATGCATGTCGCGAGACTAGACTACTACCGAGTCCTGTACATGTAGGATACGGACAAGTCTTACAGCAGACGGTAGCTTTGTAGTCTAGTCTCCAGAGTTTAAGCTAAGTGTAGATGACAGACAGCACCTACCTGTAGACTATGTACCTCATCATGTGTAGTTTGTATGTATACCCAAACCTCACATGCATCTTTCTCTTTAAAACCTACTGCTGTTTCACGTGCCACTGCTACAATACCGTGTCCGTGCTTAGACTTACATATACAGGCGTAGCCATCTTACAGACGCGGCCCTTCCTCCATCCTGTCGCTGTGCGTATGTATGTATGTATTACATTATTACGGCGGAACATAGTAGTCAAGACCAAATTGGAAAATTGTGTAACTTCGTCAGTTCGGAGTCCCCTATCACAAACTATAGCGCAAATTGGCGACAAAGCACAGAGCTCTCTTTCTAAAAAAATAAAATAAAAAAAATTCACCATGTCTTCGAGTAATATTACGAAATTAGTGTGTGATCGCACCCGGCGAAGTTCCCAAAATATTGAAGCGCGGTGTTCCAACGATTGGCCCAAGGGCTTGCACAAGTGATCCATATATTGATTGAACAGGATGATACAGCCATCTCAATTGCGAAATATCAAACAATATGTCAGCTTGCACTCAGAATGGCGCCTTCTGTGCAGCACCTTCGTGTCGCTGTTCTGGAATCAAAGTCGAAAAATATTGGCCCAAAAAAGGGCATCTGTTTTTGGCATTTTATTTTTGGCATTTTTTTCAGCCCTCAATGGCATCTTCCGCGTCCTCACCCAGCCATTCATCCGTCTGCTCCTCCACCCCATCCTCTATCTCATCCTCGGCCGTAGCCTCTTGGTACTCTGCCACTGGATACTCAAGGCTACCGATCGTACCGCTCAGGTTTCCACCATACAGGCCGATCCACTCGTCCATCTTGCCAATGGCATGGTGCACCAACTTTCCACAGTTGGCTGCCTTCCATCCCCCTTCCTGACCGTCCCATTCCGGGTCTCCATACCAACCGAGACGGATTTGCTTCCACACATCCAACATGTTCCGCCCCTTCTCAAAATGAATGCTCACGTAATGCTTGCCGTGCTGCCAGAACAGCTCGATCGGCTGGAAAGTCGGCATGTACGGCGGTGTCCAAATTAACCCCCACCCCTTCTCCCTCATGTACGTCTCAGCCTTTTCCTCGAGCTTTTGTGGAAAATTCTTTTTGAAGTACGTCCGAGTGACGGAGGCAATCTCTTCTTTGCTGACGCCGTTCTTGCGGTTCGCGTTGGGTAGCGACCCCTGCGCCGGGACCTCAAAGTTGTACTCAGCAGCCTTACCCTCCGACTCACGCGTCACCTTGAACGACGTGCAACCGTACTTGCGCAAGAGTTCGACGTTGTACTTCTTACTGTTGGTTTCGGGCACCTTAACCTCCTCGTCAAAGCAGTGGTGGTATGAGGCGTTATCGAGAACGAGAAACATCTTCTTGTTCTTGAACTGCGCATCGAAGGCCGGGGTAAGTCGGTGCTTCAACCACTGCATGAACATCCCATCCGTCATGGCGTTATGATAATCTCCGGTTGCCAACTTGGCCTGCCACAGAAATTCTGCTGTCTGCTCATCTGACATTTCGAAATCCGCCTCCCCAGGCTTAATCTTCTTCGCACGATTTTCCTTAGCCTTGAACCAACCCTCACGGATAGGAAATCCCTCCTGTAGCTCGGCCAAGGGCCCGTGCTTCGTGATCGCATGCACCATGATCATACGCAAACCTTTCCCCGTTGTACGGCCTATCCCATCCTGCACAACCCCCTTATCGTCAGAAGGAAAGTACGAGTACGCGGAACCATGCGCCTGGTGAACAAAGCTCTCATCCATGTACACAATGACTGCGACCCCAGCGTCCTCGGCCCTCTTCGCGAGGTCCATCTTAACAAGGAAGAGGCGGATGCGGTTTTTCCTCTCCTCGTTCAACGGGGGTATTTTGATCCTACCCCTACGGCGCTTGAAGCCAAGGCGCTGCAGCAACCCTCCCACGGCACGATTCGACATCTCTAATCCGAACGAACACTCCAAGTAATCCTTGACGGTACGGCGGAAGACCTGACGTCCCGCCTCGTGCTCGCCCTTGATGAACTCGCGCAGTCCATCCTCTTGCTCCTTGGTGATGACACGTCGCCCGTCGTCGACGCTGGTGGCCTTGCCTCGCCCCTTCCCGTTGGTCTCGTACAACTCCTGCTTGTCATACCAGAGTGTGCGAACCGCCAGGACCTTGTCCGTACCGATCCTCAAGGTCTTCGCGACCTGATAAAGATGGGTCATCCACACAGAGGGAGGGTGGGAAAAAGTTTGTAAGAATACAGCAGTGTATTGCGTTGCAGTGTATGGCGTTGGTGTACGAAAGCCGGTGTTAAAGGGACGGCAGAGTGTAGACAACGTACAGCGCACGCGAGGAGAATGGTGGTGCCATGCACATACATTCCTTTACATTCAGTGCTACAAAGCGCTGTAACTGCTGTACTGATACACTGCTGTACAGCTGGCAGCATACCGTTATACATACCACTCAAGTATTGTACAGCAGTAATGGGCATCAGTACAGCAGTGCAAGCAATGCGAAGATATGGGCCGGCAGCGGTACTGGCATGATGCCAAGCACTGTTGTTGCTTGTACAAAAATCTTGGGTGGGATGTATGTATATGCATACATACATTTGTACCAAAAAAGTACATGGCACTGCTGGTGTAAAAACGTAACAGCGACATGCGTCTTTATACTGGTATTTGTACGCAACAGTCATGTTTCTTGGTTCTCACCTGCTCCTTTGCGTGGTTCTCAGAGCTGCCTCCTTTCACCAGGTCGAAGTACAGCATGAGAATAATCCGCGACTGCTGCAGGGTGGTGAGCTCGCCAGTCTTGGGCCTCAGTGATTGCACAGAGTCCTCGACAAACTTCAGCGCGAGAGGGGGAAGCTTGGAAGTCGCCGCTTCAGCAGCCTTGCTGACACGATCCTGCTCTCGCCGTTCACGCTGCTGTTGAAGCACGTCTGACCTTGCGATGTCCCGCGCGAGCTTCTCCCGATCCCTGGCCACTGACGCCTTCATGGCCTTCACCTCTTCTTCCTTGGCCGCGAGAGCTGCTTCGGCAGCGGCGGTGGCCGCCTCTCTCTTCTCCATATCATCCAGGCGCTTGTTCATAGCCTTTGCATTTCTCGCGGCCGCAGCGTTGGCCCCCTTGATCGCTTTAGGTGGACGGCCGCTGGTACCTCCTGTCGGTACCCGTCTACCACGCTTGGTCATGGTGGATGCTGGATTGGCCAGGTGCCTGGCGTGGACGCCGAGTTGCTCTACAATGGCCGGCTCAAATTCAATTTTTTTTTTGGCGTTGTACGCGCCATGTTGAGCAGTTTGCGTTAGGTTCTATTTTAGAACCTAATTTTTTTCCCGAACCGCAACAAGTATGCCCGCTTGAAAATTGCTGCCATGAAGTGCCTGCTTTTGGCGCCGTTCACTTCGTGCTGTGACTGTCCGATGGGCATGAAACCAGCGCCATTCGACAGCTGATGTAACAGGCTTTCTGTTGAACCCACCCAGTGTGTGTGTTTCTCGATTATTGCGTGCGAAAGTTCCAAAAGAGCGTGTGTTTTTCTATCAACTTCGCGGGAGAGAGCATTTTGACAGAAAAAAAAAAAAATTGAGAGAGAACGGGAAGTGCCCAATTTGGTCTTGATTGTTGTGTTCCACCGTAATAGACTAATTGGTTGCCGCAGGACATGTCATCACATACTCCGATCGCCGGGGTGAAGGATGCGCTCAATGGCGTGCTGGCACAACACTATCTTGGCACGTTTGACATCCCTGTCACCAACGTCAACATAATTGGGCGTCCCATAGCAACGTCAGGGGTAAGGATCATAACGGAGTCCATGAAGCAAGCCCGCGGATTCTTGCAGCAGCACGCCATCTTGGCTATGGTTGAAGCATCGAATGTACCCGCCGGCGGGCTGAGTGCGGCGGCAGCCGCGAAGCTCCAATTACGGATTCTGGACGGCGCGCACAGGACGCACTGTGCTCTGCAGCTGTACGGCGGAGAGTTCATCATCCCCTGTCGCATCTATACCGATTTCAATCCGCTGGTGGAGGCCGTCGTCGCCTCAGGTAAGCAAGGAATGTGCAACAAAAACAATATGTCTGTAGGTGTTGCCCCCCCCCCCCCCCCCCCCCCCCCCCCCCCCCCCCCCCCCCCCCCCCCCCCCCCCCCCCCCCCCCCCCCCCC